GTATGTATGGGATGCAGACATGGCCATATATCAGTATTTATGGGATTCAGACATGGCCATATATCAGTATTTATGGGATGCAGACACGGCCATATATCAGTATTTATGGGATGCAGACATGGCCATATATAAGTATTTATGAGATTCAGACATGGCCATGTGTCAATATTTATGGGATGCAGACATGGCCATATATCAGTATTTATGAGATGCAGACATGGCCATATATCAGTATTTATGAGAAGTGACTAGATGTAGTCTTCTCGGGGCAGCAGGGTTAAAACAGGACTATTGTGCCAATGTGATGAGTGATGTTACACTGAATTTCATCATTTGTGGTGTGTTTTTGGCATAATATATCAAGTCCCCATGTGGGTTCCAGGGCCCTATTATAGGGAAAACAAGAATAGACCCACTGCCTACCCAAAAGCATGTCATAAGAGTCGACTAATTGGGACCTATCTCTGAAGTCGGAGTGCATCTGCCTGAGAGGCAAGGAACCAGCAGTCTGCATACAAATGAGTCAGATCTGTAAAACGGTTGCACACGTAACACTCAGGTTCTGGAGCAGGACTGCTGTCCAGAAGTGGATGAACAACCAGAACTTTCCGCCAGAGTTTACAGCTGGAGAACGCAAAGAAGAAAGAAGAAGATAAATTTATAGCACATTTGTTACTGATTAAAATGACATAGTGGTGACTTTAACACAATATTCAATCAATCAATCCTCATCACACCCAGAGGCACATAAGGCAGAGACAAACGTATGCTTGTCACTTTCTGTAGCAATTATCTTATTATTTTTTTTACAGTGGGGGGTTGCTGGCCCCACATCCAACCCTTCTTAGTTGCCTCTTATGACATGCTGAGAGGATGCAGTGGTCCTATTCTTTATGACACCGGGCATCACACGGTGATGTCTAATATCAGAATATACTTAATAATGACTCTACAACATTTATTACTGATAGAATATACATTATAACGAGCCCATAGTATTTGTTACTGATACAATATAAATGTATATAATGTCAATATGTGCTACTAATTATAATAAATAAAACACTGTGCCATCTCCACAATGGCCTGCAATGAATCCAGTGGTGACTATAGGAATATTATACGGTGAGGCCCCAGTCTCTGTGACAGTGCGAATCCGGCAACACTGTCCAAAAGCCACGAGAACATTATGTTAACTTAACTGCCCACCATAGGAATCAAAGCTTAGTAAATGTCAGGGACTGCACTGTGAAAACATTTCACTAACCACCAGTGTTTCTCAACCTTTTTTGTGTCATGCCCCACGTAAGCTTTTCTAACATTCGTATCCCCCCCCCCCCCCCCCCCCCCCCATGTAACTTAAAACTCTAGGTTGTCTATTTTCCAACTGCCTTTTTGACAATCAAATTAGAGACAACCCCCCCCCCCCCCCCCCCCCCCCCCCCATGTAACTTAAAACTCTAGGTGAGTCTATTTTCCAACTGCCTTTTTGACAATCAAATTAGAGACACACCCCCCCCCCCCCCCCCCCATGTAACCCCCCCCCCCCCCATGTAACTTAAAACTCTAGGTGAGTCTATTTTCCCAACTGCCTTTTTGACAATCAAATTAGAGACCCCCCCCCCCCCCCCCCCCCCCCCCCCCATGTAATTAAAACTCTAGGTGAGTCTATTTTCCAACTGCCTTTTTGACAATCAAATTAGAGACCCCCCCCCCCCCCCCCCCCCCCCCCCCCCCCCCCACCTGTAACTTAAAACCCCCTATTTTCCAACTGCCTTTTTGACAATCAAAATTAGAGACACCCCCCCCCCCCCCCCCCCACCTCATGTTGGGAAACACTGCTCTAGTCATGGTCCAGTACTAACTAAATAAACACAGATAATGTTCACATTAGAAGTTAGAAAACAAATTCTCAAACACTATTTAGAGCCTGTTTTAACCTAGAGCTGTACAATTAATAAACAAGCCAATCTATTTCTTGAGGCTTCGGAGATGTGCTTTTATAGAAGAATCCTTAGAACTCCATAGACAACCAAAAAGAGCAACTCTGATGTTTTGAAAGAGGTTAGGGCTTAAAGACAACTAATCACAAACATCAGAAAGGGACAGTCACAAATCTTTGGTCTCGTGGGAAGCCAGTGACCTGACTGACTAGATTTAATGTTAGCTGCACTTAGGGCACACCCCTATATGCTTTCCACTGACAATAATGAATGCAGAGAGAGAGAAAGAGAGAGAGACAGAGGCACACAGAGAGAGGCAGAAAGAGAGATTCATGTCATGTATAGTTCCATACATATGTAATAATTTGTGACAATATCATTCTTGATAACATTTAACTCAAGTCTCGGGGGTTTAGCGTCACAGGCCCAAGGGCTAGTCAAAAGAGACGTAAAAGCGGCGCATCTTGCGTCCATTGGGCTTCTACACCTATGAACGTATGATGCCTTTGTTGGGATTCAAAGAGAGCAGGTATGATATGATTCAACTTCATCCACACGTATAACAAGTAAATAATGTACACATGTAACAAAAAACCCAGAATTAATGTCCATGTTAGTTAGTTAGTTATTCCTCTTGTGCCAAAGATGGCGCATAGGGCAGAGGTCATAGCTTTCCACGTCTGTCGGTTCTTTGCCACTTGATGTAGGTCTTGAGTGCGACTGAGACCTATGGTTGAGCTCTCCCTTGTGATGGTTCTACAGAGAGTTTCTTTTGGTCTTCCCTGTTTTCTTTTACCCTCTGGTGACCATATGAAGGCTTGGTGGGGAAGTCTCTGTATGTCCATTCTGAGTACGTGACCGATGTAATTCCAGCGACGCATTCTAATAAAATCAGACACATATTTTTGTTTTGTTTCCTGTCTTATAGATGTATTGGACCTAAAGTCCGACCAGTGAACATTCAATAGCTTTCGGAGGCATCTATTCTCGAAAGCGACTAGTTTCTTATCGATTGATACTGATGATTTCCAACTCTCACAACCATAAGTTAGCACTGGGATCACACAGGAATTGAAGACCTTAAGTTTCGTGTTGTTGCTGAGTGATCTTGACTTCCAAATGTTTGACAGTTTGTTAAATGGCCGAACAGGAAAAAAAACAACAACAACAACAGTGAGATTAGGAAGAAGTCAACAGTGAGTAGGCTGGATTAGGAGAGTACCTTCAATATACTCCCAAATACAGCAATATATATATCTACAAAAAACAAAAACAAATCTCTTGAAAAATATTATTAAAACGTCAACAAATGAGGAGGGAGGTGGCAGAGGGAGGCGGATGAGAAAAAAAATCAATGTAACATTGATGTAAGTACTGACCCTGAAGTCTTCTCAGTGTTAAAGAGATAACTGTTATAAATTACAGATATCTTTACTTTGGCACTTTGGCACCGTCGTTGTAAGTTGTGGTGAAACAGACACATGGTCAAATGCAATCATTGGTACACAACAAAAAAAATGATATTAATAACTGAAACAACTATGCAATATATACAATGATATGGCTACTGTAACAAACGCATCTTAGTATTAATGCTGGCATTAAAACAAACTAGGTGTCCTGTACAGTCACTGAAGTAAAAGCAGGTAGGCCTTATGCGGCCTCTAATGCAAGTACATTAAATACACTAAAATACACCACAGGTCAATTCACAACTCATGGAATTCCAATTTACAACTCAGAGTTCCAGTTTACAAATCGTGGAATTCCCTTCTACAACTCACATTCCATAACTCAACGGACAACCATAAAGCTACCTATCACATGACCTTAAAGATATAGCCTATAGATTCAAACCCAAAATTCAATTCAACATCACATCTACATCTTTCACCACATCAAAACCACAATCACTGCAACCCAACTCCAGCCACCTCAGATCTATAACTCAAGCCACACCAAATTAACAACAGACACCACCCCAAACCTACAAGTCACCTCAACCCTTCAATTAAAGCCGACACCACCTCATATACACAGTCAATACCTAAAATATACAACTTGAAAAAAAAAATAATAATGATAATTAAAAAAAAAATAATAATAATGATAATTAAAAAAAAAAATCTACAACTCATACTAACTACCTGAAATATTATACAACTCAAGCAATGCCAAATCTACAACCAGTACCAGCCAAAATCTACAGTCATATTGCCCCAATTTCTTGATCTCATACTATCTCATATTTACAGTCAAACAACAAAATATATAACTCAAACAGACAACCTCACTCAACAACTTAAACCAACTACCTCAGATTATACATTGTAACATTGGCCATTTGTGTCAAATGTTGATGAAGGCTTTTTAGCTGCAATGTTTATTTTATTATTTGTGAATGTGGTTTTGTGAATCAAAATAATTTATCATTCTCGTTTGGATGGACATTTTCTAAAATACATATGTTACATTGTCTCACTAAGACACTCATACATACACTTACATTAATTCAACCCTAGAGAGTGCACTCTTTCTTTCCCACTCCAAATCTACAATTCACAAAAAATTCAATTTACAACTTTAGCCATCCCAAATTTACAACTTCTCCCATTTGAAACATACAACTCAAGCCATCCTTACTCTAAAACTTAAATCACTCCAAATATACAACTCAGATCATCCACACAAGTCACACAACAGCAAATTTACAACTCACGCTACCTGAAATCATTAATTCAAGCCGTAAAACATCAAAGTGTCATGCTATTCCATGCACCGGACTGCTGTCATGAAAGCAATCATTGACATGAACCTTCTCATTCTTCAATCACTGAGCAATGTCCTGGTGACACATTCTGAGGATGTCACACATTGGATTGCTGCCATGAAAGCAATCATTTGCATGAATCTTTTAATTCCTGAATCATTATTGGTCAATGTCCTATTTACACATTCCATGGATTCCGCAAGGACTACTGTTATGAAAGTGATAAATGACATCCGCCTTCATATTCTCTGAATCACTATGCAATATATGGATCCCGCAACAAAGTCTCATGCCATCCCATGCACCGGACTACTGCCATGAAAGCGATCACTAACATGAACCTTCACATTCTCAGATTCACTGGGCAATGTCCTGGTGACACATTCCGTGGACATGTTCCTCTGTATATGAGCTTCAATCTCCCGACAATCCACAATGTAATTTGTGCTTGCTGCTCCATTAGTCACAGAAATATCTGTTTCTTCTGCAGGTTCTGCAGCAGTCTTTGTTGCCAAAGGAAGATTCCTCCAAGAGATTTTCATATCCTTGAAAGCATTGAGCAGGAATATACCCACAATAATGGTGAGAAACCCACAAAGATCCCCCACAATGTCGAATGGATTCATCCTGGAAAATTCCTGAAATAAAATCCCAGAGCCCAAAATCACACAGGAGGTAAAGAAGACGTAGTAAATTGGTGTGACCACTGCTGTGTTGTACATGTCCAAAGCCTTGTTTAAGTAGTTTAACTGCAGGAGAATGCAGATGACCACAACGGCCAGCAGGAGATATGTGAGCCAGTTTGTAAATTCGTTGTGCCCTCGAGCAGTTGCCTTGATTGCGGTGCCGACACCCTTGCAGGCCATGACGGTGAAGGAGCCGAGAGTGGAACATACTGTGATGTAGACCAGTACGGTCCTGTTGCCGAAACGGGGGACAAAGTACGCCATCATAGAAACTGCGATGATGACGATGATGATGGCGTACACAATGAATGCTGTAGAGTAGAAAAAATTAATCATTACATTAATGTCTTATTATTATAAAAACTGAATAAAACAAACTAAATGAAAAATTATTTTAAATTACAAAATAAAAAGGAAATTAGTAACTAAGAAAGGAAATGGCTGATAAGAACTGCAAAAGTGATAAGAAGAGACAAAATCAGGAATGAGGTCATAAAAGAATAAGTCGGAAGGGCACCAATTCCAAATTACACACAAAGACAGCAAATCAAATCTGTTTGCTCACTTAGACAAAATGCCTTGTGACACCACACCATACACCAAAAGAGAAGAAGGATGTACAGCACAAGGCAGGAATAGAACAAAGTGGAAAGATAATATCAGAGAAACTCTAAAACAACATGATGTGTCTATGGTCCGGGTGGACAGAAGACCAACAAGCAGAACCTTAAATCTCCCTCAATATCCGAAGTGGTAAGAGGAAGTCAAGAAGACTATATAGCTGTTGGCAGGCGATAGAGTTATATTGTGCCACACGATGATCATCTCCCTAGCACAAAGCCTAGACAGTACTGTGGAGAACATGTGTAGTGTTATACTGTGCCAGATGACCATTCTCTCCATAGCAAAAAACCTGAAAAGTGCTGTCGAGAACATGTGTAGTGTTATACTGTGCCGGATGACCATTCTCTTTATAGCACAAAGCCTGGACAGTACTATTGACAACATTTGATTCTCCCCATTGCACAAAGCCTGGACAGTACTGTCGAGACCATGTGTTGTCTAAACAGCATAATCCCCCTCTAGATGTGTCTTATCAAATCCTAATGAAAAATACCACCAATCTGTTTGGAACAAAGCATGCCACAGAAGCTGCCACATCAGAATAGCAGTTCTCTATCTATCTGCCAACTGAAGTTTCCCTCCTAGACCAGCTGCCACAGAAGCTATAGGCCTAGTTTGCCTGATTTAACAGTTAAGTATTCAGGCTGCATTTTCTCTTCATAGGATAAGACAAATATCCTCCTCAATGTGCTCTTCTGCCCAAATTTCAATTACATTTCTCCTTCTTCTTCCTCTGTGCTAATCTGTGCTGTGACAGTTTACAGTATGGCTGCTATATTTGCGTCTCTCTATTGATATCTGACTTATTCAGACATTTATTGCTCCATCTAGCCTTATTGGTTAGTTTTGTGGTATACGACTCAGCTTCATTGTTGTGTCTTCATCTTGGCTTATTCCAGAGGTGTTGCCCTCCATCAAGCCAGCCCAGAGCAATCACACAATGCTGGTCAGCCCTCAAAAGAAGGCATGAACAGAACATGAGCATTCCCTGCATCACTGGTGTGAAAAGGGTCCTTCACTGACTTTCTACTTCCCCTATTACCACAATGTGCAACAGCTGTTGCAGATCACACATGGTTTCAGCCAACAATACTGTGTCGTCCCCATAACACAGATTACTTGTATTATAATCTTTAGTGTGTACTCCTTTGGTCTCTGCATTATTATTTCACAACAGCTGATGTGATCTGAGCTAGGTAAGAACCAACACAAAAGCACTTATTGCATTTTCATTAGTAGCCGGATTGTATGTGCATTCTGCCTTTCCTCCCCATGTTGAGTGTTGGCCAGACCCCCTCATTCCCAGCTGCATATTTATCTCCGGATCATCTCTTTCTGTGCCTCTGTACTGGGTTTCACTACAGAGTGAGCCAATGCTGATGAATGGAAGTGAATCATGCACAGTCAGCAGAGTGGTGAAAGAATTATGTGAAAGCTGTGGGGATATGGTTTCACAGAAGAATGATGAGGACATGATCAGAACAAGAATGAAGTTGGGACCGAACCAGTATTAAACTACATCAAGAAACAAAACAGACAGATCAAATGGTTCGAACATGTGTCAAGACTACCACCAGACAGTGAACTACAGATAGATATGTCACTTAGACATAACTGAAGCAGAACTAGTCTCTATTATCTCAGTCACATTCACAAGAGAAATGTACTTGACTCAGCCTTCCGCTCCCCCATGTCATCAAACTCACTTCTATTATCTCAGTCACATTCACAAGAGAAATGTACTTGACTGAGACTTCCGCTCCCCCATGTCATCAAACTCACTTCTATTATCTCAGTCACATTCACAAGAGAAATGTAGTTGTGCAACCTTCAACTCTCTCGTGTCATATAACCATTTCCATTATCTCAGTCACATTCACAACAGAAATATATTTGACTCAGCCTTCAGCTCTCTCATGTCATAAAACTACTTTCAGCAATCCCTAGAGGGTGTTGACACAACTGCAGTTCTTTGTAGTCCAGCAAATTGCAGGAATGTCAGGAAACAATGAACCAGACTAGAAAACGTAGAATCCCAACCTTCACATGACAACTATACCAAATGAAAAAAAGGCTGTAGCAGTGTTCCAGAGAACTAAACTTAAAGAAAAAGGGAAAAGTTGGAGGAAAAAACAGCAGCTCTGAATCTTGGGAAAGATGGCGAGAAACTCTGGAGATTAGCTAAACCACTCAATAAAGAGAGTTTCTCTTCTAGAAACAATCACACTAAATGAAGGTGAGAAAATCTTCAGAGGAAATCAAGCTGCAGATTTGTTTGCCGGAATATATAGTGCTGAAAGCAACCTGACCCTTGATGAGGACCACCAGAGAGAATTAGGAAAGAAATACAAACAGATAATAGATAGACACATATTCCTGCCTCTTTAATTGAGGCTTTCACTATGGGTGAACTTCAAATGTCATTTCCCGGCTTACGTTTAAAAAAGTCTGCAGGTCCATATGAAATCAGCATTGAAATGCTGATCAGTCTGTGCTCTAAGTAAAGCTGCTGGAAATTTTTAATGTCATCTGGGAGAAAGGACTGGTGCCTCAAGTATGGAGAGAAGCCATCACAATACACCTACTAAGAAGAAGGAAACATTAAGACCCAGGCTTCAAGCTGTGTAGAATAGACATTGGAGAGATAAATTCAAGACTGAAATGGTACTTACAATATGAGCAGATCTTGGTGTCATAGCAGGCTGGATTTAGAGAATGTCACAGCATAGAAGACCAAGTCACCTACCTGTCACAAACTTAAGAATATACCTTCCAAGAGATAAAAAAAAGGTCCTGGCAGTGTGCGTCAAACTTCAAACAAGCTTTCAACAAAGTGTGGAAAGATGGTCTCATTGCAAAACTAAGGAAAAGTGGAATCCAAGAAAACAGGCTAATATGGATCCAATCCTTACACAGTAGGAGAACTAGAGTCATTCTTGATGGCCTGCAGAGGAGAAAAGTGTTGCTTCATCAATGGGTACCACAGGTGGGAGTTATCTCTCTTTAACTCTCTTTCTTGTTTACATCAATGACCTGGTGAGAGACATTCCTAGAGGAGTGAAGGCTGCCCTGTATGTAGATGATATGGCACCCTAGTGTACTGATGAACACATCACAAAGGCAAATTTAAGAATGCAGCAAGCAACAGATATTTCCTAATCACATGGCCAGAAAAGTGGCATGTTGCCATCAACACAGACAAAACATCCAGCTTCTCTCTTTCCACAAGGGATAAGGTGGCTAGTAATCGCCTAGGAACAGCATTGCTAAAGGAAGAAAGCTTTCCCAATTATCTTGGTGTGACAATTGATAAAGGTCTTAGTGGTGCAAACATACAGAAAATAAGAAGGGAAGGCCAGAAGATGAGTACAGCTGCTTAGAAAACTGGCAGGTACAAGATGGGAAGCAAATATAAAAACCCTGAAGAAAATTTATAATGGAGCGAAGACCCCACTTAAAGTTTAATATAACAGCTTAGTCATCAGCCACTAATTCTCATCTACAATCATTCGACAGAGTGTAAAATCAAGCTCTTAAGACTCATCACAGGATCTATAAAAACAGCAACAACCCTGGAGATGCAGAAAATAACTGCAATGCAGACATTGTCCTATAGAAGAGACACTCAAACTATGATCCAGATGGTGAAGTTGAATAGTATGCAGTCACACCCAGTGAAAGCAAGACTAGATGATCTAGCATTGGGGCATCTTAAATGTAGCAGCTTCGTCCATTGGGGAAACAGACTTAAAAGACAGTATCAAGCAGATCTACTCATGAGAACAACACCGATGAAACCTACTCAATACACTGTACCTTGGGAGCAAGTCAGAAACACAATACAGATAATGACTTTAGTGTAGGGACTCACAGCTGGAGATGAGTCCGATGACCTTTAAAAATGATCAGCTGCTCTTAGTATGATCCAAGAAAGCTATCCCTAACAGTCGTGGATACATTTACAGATGGATCAGCAACCAGCGTGGTTCGAAAAGAGCGTGTTGACATCTTTATCACATTACCACACAACCACAGCCACACAAAGTACATACGCTCTTGTAAATTCTAATCCAATAAAACAACAGATAGCTTAACGCTAGAGCAGGCTGCTGAAATGTTACACAACACTAGTTCTGACTGCCACCAAGTGGTCATCTTCACAGGTATGCAACCGGTGCTCCAAGCCCTCAAGAGTGATAAACTCCCTCACTTGAGATCTGAACTTAGCAAGGTGGCTGGCCCAAAAGTGTACTGTACTCAGGTGGGTACCATCCCACTGTGGTATACTAGGAAACAAAACCGCAGATAAACTTGCTAAGAAAGGGGCAGAATGTGACCAGGAGGAGAATGCAGTAACATACTATGAGAAGAAAAGGGCCATCCAGTCTATCAGAAGTAGACATAATCTGGTTGGTGATGACTACCACTTACTTGACTTTATTCTAGACCTCAGGACTGTGTGCGCACACTACAGAACAAATCCTGCAAGAATGACCTTTGTGCAGCCCAATAAGAAGGAAATACGGGCCTAGTGAGTGAACACTGTACTCAAAGTATGGAACTAAAAGGGAACTCCTAAAAACAAAGTTTATCAAAAGAACTTGTCTGTCAGTGTAAATCAGAAAATGAACACAAGAAGAAGAATCTCAGTCACATTCACAACAGAAATATACTTGACTCAACCTTCAGCTCTCTCATGTCATAAAACTCTTCCATTATCTCAGTCACATTCACAAAAATGAACTTGACTCAGCTGTCAGCTATACCATGTCATGAAGTTCCTTTGGGAGACAAGGTTTAAGCATCATCTTACTGCAGCCTAGCATACACTTTTTATACTGTCTAAAATAAATACACACATACTCATTCTTCATTCTCTCTCTCTCTCTCTCTCTCTCACACACATAAACACACACACAAACACACACTCTCTCTCTAACTTAGACAGTCTGAAACAAAGCTTTTCTTTCACATACATTCTCATACCCATGTTACACTCTCTAACAATTGCATACACACGCATGCTCACTCTATCCTTACACACGCTTTCATTCATTCACAGCTCTTTTTTACATTGTGTTTCTAACACATTCACTCATATTCGATCATTACACACACTCTCTTATCCTCATACACTCCCATATACATGCTACACTCTTTCTAACACACTCAAATGCACACTCACACTAACTCATCTATCCTTACATACTCCCTGTCCCTCATTCACTAAAGCTTCTTCTTCACACACGCTCTTATAAACATACAATACTACCTTTTTACAAAACTCATACAAATACTCGCTCTAACACACTGCCAATCCTCACACTCTCACCCACACAACCTCATCCAAAGCTCTCTTTGAAACACACTCTGATCCACACAAACACTCTCTGAAGCCCTCTTGATGAGCTCTAAAGATTAACACTTCAGTATAAATTCCACCCTAAGTGTAGCTGTGCTCTACAACCAAGTCTCCTCACTCATTCACCCCTCACACATATATAATAAGAGGAAAATACCTGGCTCCTTCATCTTGTTCATCATCTCATTAAGGTCATGCACCTCCTGCTCCTTGGGGGAATGTATCACCATCACAGTAGATCCCAGGATACATAGAAAACATCCTACCTTTCCGAGGATGTTCAGTCTCTCCTTCAGCACATGTGATGACAGGACAGCACTGAGGGGTACAAGATTACAGACATTACTCAGCTGTTAGTTAACAGAAATATTACAGTCAGTTAGTATTGTCCTATTGAAATCAAGTTAATATTTTAGTATTATAATCAGTTAATTATTTTAATATTACAAGTAGTTAATATTTTAGTTAATTATCAGTTAATATTTTAGTATTACAATCGGTTAATTTATAAGCAATTTATTCAGTTAATATTTTGTATTATAATCAGTTAGCATTTTAGCATTACAATCAGTTAGTATTTTAGTATTGTCATCAATATTCTAGTATTTTCTTTAATGGTCTAGTATTCCTATTAGTATTCCCATATTATGATTCAGCTAGTATTCTAGTTTTACCGTGAGTATTCTAGTATTACAATCTGCATTATAAAACTGCTATCAAAATTCCAATCAATTAGTATTCTAGTATTACCATCAATTTTCTAGTATAGTATTACCATCAGTATTCTAGTAATATAAAGTTACTATTCTAGTATTACAAACAGCAAGTATTCTAGCATTACAATAAGTAACATTAATGTTTTTGAGAAATGGGGGGGGGGGGGGGGGGAATCTCCATAGTCACATCAAACCATTGGCATAATGCTCAGAAGGTAACAGGTTTTTGTGTGTTCAGGACTGTTCAGTTTCTGTGATTGGATCATTACAGGGGATGACTTGAAGATCCCCTACACCTTAAGGTAGAAATGCAAGGATAAAGAATTACCTGACAATCACACTGAGAGCGCCCAGAGGTGTCACTAGGGTGGCTGGAGCAAAAGCGTAGGCTGCAAAGTTAGCAAACTCCCCGATAGTCACTGTGGAAAATAAGGGGAGAAAGTATACAATATAAACTCCCAACAGTCGCTGAGAAATGTGAAGCAAAAACTACTACAAAACTACTAAAATACAAAATGCCTCACAGTCTTTGTGGAAAAGGAGGCAAAATTTACTACAATGCAAACTTCTCAACAGCCACTGTGCAACAGAAAGAAAAAATACCAGTACAAACGCCCCAAAAGTGATTATTAATAAAAAATAAAAAAAACCACACACATGCACACACTCACACAAAACCAGAAAGAAAGCACAAACTGTGAGATTACTAACTCCCTAACGGTAACTGTGGAACAGGAAGCAAAAACGACTACATTATACACTCTCTAACAGTCGTCATAGAAAAGGAAGCAAAAGCTACTACAATCAAACTCTCTACCAGTCATTATGAAAAAAGGAAGCAAAAATTACTTTAATATAAACTATCTTACAGTCACAGTGAAAAAGAAAGCAAAAAACTAATACAATTGCAATGAGTAGGGTTGTAATACCTCGTTGTCTAGGTGGTGTTTAGTGTGTGTGTTGTGAATGCTCTTATCACACACTCTACGTTACATAACTGGTACAAGCCGACACCGACTTAGCCATACGAAACATAAGTTTACTGGCATGATTTTCACTTACATCAGAGTCCAGTCGTTGTCCTAATAACAGCTCTCGCACACCACTTCACGCAGCCTTCAACTCGCAGGTTCCTCACACATTCACTGACCAGAGTCTGCCCTGATGCATCTCGTCGATCTTCGGAACATTACACAGAATGGCCTGGCAGATCTTGACTTCATACGTTGTTGTCTGATTCTCCTATCACCACAGCAATCTCACGTTAACATTCATACGTTCAGTCTCCCATCCTTTCGCTCCAACAAGTCGACACAAACTCCACTTGACCACAATCAAGTCTGATCTTATACCACGGATTAGTTTCACGTGGCAACACGTGGTTGTCCTTTACTTCCATGTGGCGACCTTTTGTCGCGTCATCGTGATACTTGTGATAGCTCGTGGTCATCACTTATCTCAAGATCCTCGTTTAATCCGAGTATCTGGAATATCTCAGTGTTTTGGGTTATCCTTAGGCCTACCCCCCAACCTTCCTAATGTGGGTGAAAATATCCCCCATTACAACAATATAAAATCTCTAACAGAAACCGCGAAAAAGAAAGCAAAATCTACTACAACATACCCTAACTATTCCAATATAAAACCCCCAATAGTCTCTATAGAAAAGAAAGCATCAACTACAACATAAACTACCCAAGAGTTACTGTAAAGATGAAGAAAACATGTGCCGTCATTTAGTTGCTCCTCTTCTACCTTGGGGTGTAGAGGTTTGCCAGAGATATCGCCTGACTTCTCTATCAGCATTTCTTTTGGGCTTTGTTCCATTCCAGTCCTCTGTCAGTTAGGGACTGTCGGATGTTGTCTTCCCAGTGGAACCTGGGTCCCCTAGAGGTCTGGTTCCCTAGTACTTAGCCTCCCATGCCTGCTCCCATTCTGCAGACATGTCCAAACCATCGTAACCGTAACTGATCAACTCGGGTTTGTAAGGCCTGGGTATCAAGATCTTGATGTATTGTCTGAATGTGGACTTTGTCCCTTCTTGTCACTTGGACCACCTTTCTCAGATATCTCATTCCTAATTCCTGAAGCTGGCTTCTGTGAGCTGTTAAACATGCACCCTAAGAATTTAAATATGTTAACCCTACCAGACCGCTGGCCCGATTTTCTGAGAATTTTCTAACCTGATGCTATACCGCTGGCCCCATTTTTCGGGAATTTGCGTAGTTCGTGAAAAATATGCTTCACAGACTAAAAATAACCAGCCAATCACCATCAGACTTCGAGGTTAGTCATTGTGAATGACTTCCCACGTGTGTTGAGATTTCTTTGTGTTGTTTGATGTGGAAAAAAATTCGGAAAATTCTCAATGAAACGAGCGGCTTCGATAAGAAAGTGACGTAGGTCTAGGCTTTTCACAGTCCAACAGATGATCGATACTTTGGTTGATTCAGACTGTGAATACGTTCATGAAGAATACGTTCCCAGTTGAAGTGACACAGTCAGTGAGAGCTAGAGTGAGGAAGAGAATTATGAAAATTATAGATTTAAAACTAGATCGATAGTAAGAGAAAGGGGCGTGTCCCTTAAACAGCAACATCTGGTGCTTACTTTGTGAAATAAGACTGATCCTACTATGTGGATTTACACACAAAGGTGAAAGATTGGCAATAAATGAAAGGTAAACCTATTTTCTACAATGTCTCCAAGTTTTATCTTATTCTAACCACTTGTTTGCATGTAACTAATATTTTTGTACATCGTGTTGGTTTTTTCGTGTTAATGCCCAGGAGATCAGGTTATAGGGACAATTAGGTTCAGGGCCTCAGTCTGGTAGGGTTAAATGCAGACAGGTTCAATGGACAAGGAAATCTTGAGATTGATGATGTAGGATTGCCTGGCTAATTCTGTCTCCACAAACGGTGAAGGCTAGGAATTTTTTTCTCTCTACCATCTTACTGAGGATTCAAACCTGGGTCCCTGACTAAGCATGCTAATAAACTGGTCAGCTGCTCCACAGAAAAGCAAATAAATGAGCACACACCAAAAAAAGCAGATGGATACTTACTCAAGCTCATCCCTGTCCACCACATCCACTCCTTGAGGTAGCCATACCCACCATCTCCTAGAGAGTAGTAAGGTTGATATTATTAGCTTATCTCTTTATTGACCTCTACTACATGGGTTCCCAGCCTATGGGTCATGAACCCAAATGCTGTCATGAAGGGTTTTCTGTAGGGTTGAAGGGCAGTGGTGGGCTATGAAAATTTTGCAAATGTAAAAAATCATTAAAAAAAATTTATATATTTAAGTATTTCTGCTGTGTTTTCATTTATCTTATCAAATAGCTTATTTATAATGCATTAGGTCACAGATCACTATGCCTCCATAAAGTGAGGACGTGACTCGAAAACGGCTGGGAACCCCCGCTCTACTATGATATAAAGATGCAAGCAGGACATGAATAATACAGGTATTGAGGTAGATTCTGGAGAACAGTATACCACTGACCATGTTGCACAGAGGAGAAAAATCCGGATGGGAAATAAAGGAAAAAATGACCACATACAGGTTCGGAGCTGAGCATCTGAAAGAAAACAGGTGCAATGGCAACAATGGTCCTGAAATCCCATGCTCTAACTGTGAAAGACTTTACTTAATACTGGTAGGTCTTGCTTGTCATACTTGCCATCCCCATGGGCGGTGACTCCCATACCTCCCTAAAACTACAATTTAACAGTTTCGCCTAGCAAGATGGAAAGATGCCAAAGTAAAAATAATTATCCCAATAATTCCTTCAGTACTAGAAGGCTACTTCTTGAACCCGTTCTATTCCAAAATGCCTAGGCAGGCACCATGAGTAGGGACCCCAGAGTAAACAGTTTAACCTGTTCTATTCTAAAATGCTTGGGCAGGTACCATGAGTAGTGACCCCAGAGTAAACAGTTTAACCTGTTCTATTCTAAAATGCTTGGGCAGGTACCATGAGTAGTGACCCCAGAGTAAACAGTTTAACCTGTTCTATTCTAAAATGCTTGGGCAGGTACCATGAGTAGTGACCCCAGAGTAAACAGTTTAACCTGTTCTATTCTAAAATGCTTGGGCAGGTACCATGAGTAGTGACCCCAGAGTAAACAGTTTAACCTGTTCTATTCTAAAATGCTTGGGCAGGTACCATGAGTAGTGACCCCAGAGTAAACAGTTTAACCTGTTCTATTCTAAAATGCTTGGGCAGGTACCATGAGTAGTGACCCCAGAGTAAACAGTTTAACCTGTTCTATTCTAAAATGCTTGGGCAGGTACCATGAGTAGTGACCCCAGAGTAAACAGTTTAACCTGTTCTATTCTAAAATGCTTGGGTGGGTACCATGAGTAGTGACCCCAGAGTAAACAGTTTAACCTGTTCTATTCTAAAATGCTTGGACAGGTACCATGAGTAGTGACCCCAGAGTAAACAGTTTAACCTGTTCTATTCTAAAATGCTTGGGCAGGTACCATGAGTAGTGACCCCAGAGTAAACAGTTTAACCTGTTCTATTCTAAAATGCTTGGGCAGGTACCATGAGTAGTGACCCCAGAGTAAACAGTTTAACCTGTTCTATTCTAAAATACTTGGGCAGGTACCATGAGTAGTGACCCCAGAGTAAACAGTTTAACCTGTTCTATTCTAAAATGCTTGGGCAGGCACCATGAGTAGTGACCCCAGAGTAAAAAGTTTAACCTGTTCTATTCTAAAATGCCTGGGCAGGCACCATGAGTAGTGTCACAGAAGTCATGCGGTTCTGAAACTTCATACTTCACTCAAACGTCTGCTGATCTGACAGGCAGGTATAACCATAATGGACCTTTCTTCGCTGATGAATTTGTATAGGTTTCAGCCCCTACTGATTAAAAAAAAAAGAACGTTGCTCCTCTTTTGTACATGTCAAAAGTAGGTGGCCATCATTAAACTATCAATATGACGTCGTGCTGGTCATCTGCATAGTGATGTTATATGCTTAATACTCTTGACATCCTTAACAACAATACTGACTGGTAACAAGACAATGGCAGGTTTATTGTCATTTCTTATCACCTTTTAAAGGTTTATCGTTTGAAGCCCCCTTAGTAGGTTAGTTAGTTAGGTTGTCATTTCTACACATCGGGCATGTCCATAGGTGCTCAGATCTTTCCCTCATTATGAACCCCAGCATCCAGTGGCTAATAGGGCCAGTTCTATGTTGATTAACAAGTCCTCCGATATGACTGGTGAGCGTCTCATTTTTCGCTATGTCGATCTTAACTCCCAAGTCTATTATTCTGGCGAGTGATGTGGATTCACTACTCCCAAAGTCCTTCAATGTTCTCATTTCTTGGAAGGCATTAATAATATCAGCATGATTAAAGCCCTCTTGTAGTTGTGTATGCTTTACATGACACAGAGAAGCAACCCCAGCATTTACTGGATCTTTGTGCTATGGTACTTAAACCTATATAAATCAATGGCAAACTAATGAAAGAAAAATCAGCCAAAAAATACTGGGTATGGTTCTGCAATGTTTAGTAAAGAATACACAACACACATTTTTTTTCTTGGGGTATTAACAATTTAAATTTGTTTTCCTGCTGCCAGATACCCTGCAGCTGACCTGAGCAATGGAATGTGAGAATTATGGAAGTTCATAACCTATGACACACATAAAATATATCTAAAAAAAAAAAAAACTTTTTATCAACCCACCCACAATATACTGCATGTCACTTCCTAATGAAGGCTTACAAAAATTTTTTTTTTACATAAAAAAAAAAGTACTCAGTAACCAACCCTTTTCACGCCAGTCACACAACCGGCACATGACACTAGACTCATATTTGTTTATAACAACTGGCATTTGACAGGTATGTGGTCAACATTATGCCAGCCACCTTTACTTCCCAGGAACCTATTTTAGACTGGGCTGACTTGAGAGCCAAGGTCATGTTTTGAACAAGAAAAATCCAACTCGATTCAGATTTGAACCCGAGACCTTGGCCAGCAGGCAAGAGTCCAACCACCAGGCTACTGCAGCTCCTAATGTTTGGTGCCCTAATACGACTGAATGGGGTTTCTAGGATGTGCTCTACTGCAGCTCCTAATGTTTGGTGCCCTAATAGGGCTGAATGAGGTTTCTAGGATGTGCTCCACTGCAGCTCCTAATGTTTGGTGCCCTAATAGGGCTGAATGAGGTTTCTAGGATGTGCTCCACTGCACCTCCTGTTTGGTGCCCTAATAGGGCTGACTGAGGTTTCTAGGATGTGCTCCACTGCAGCTCCTAATGTTTGGTGCCTTAATAGGGCTGAATGAGGTTTCTAGGATGTGCTCCACTGCACCTCCTAATGTTTGGTGCCCTAATAGGGCTGAATAAGGTTTCTAGGATCTGCTCCTTGTTTGATTATTGTCTATGAGATGGTAATTCTAGATACTATAATCCTGGAAGGGGAAAATACACAGAGTATCCCATAAGTTTCCATCTTTTTCTCAAAGTCGATGCCATGTGGTGTTGGTAGTTATATCTATCCACAACCTTCCATCTTGTGTACTTTCAATCAACTCTGATACATATGATCCTCCACGCTATGATGTCAAACTGTCCAGCATCTTTTCTCTCAATCTCCTTCCGCCTCTCCTCCCCTCAACTTTCCTACTGGCATGATGTACTCCAGTTTTATTCTTCTCATCACATGACTAAAGAATGTTGATTGTCTCTTTCTGATTTAGGCAATCATTTCTTTTCGTGAGTCAGTTTCTTTCAAAGCATCTTCATTTCTCTTTTTATCTGTTGAGAGTATTCTCATCGTTCTTTATAAAACCACATCTGCGCACAATTTTCCATCCAAAGGAAAAATAAACTTTTTTTAAAATGAAAACCATTTTGATTTTTACAATATGCTCTACACGACTACCACTGTTTTGAAAACACATTTACATGCATGGCCCCCAGTGCAAAAGAACACAATAAGCACAGCTGGAGTTATGAATATAATAGCGTGGTTGATAGGTTTATTTTTTTTTTCCTGTGTACTGGAAACTTATGGGATATGTTATTTTTTTCTATGTCCTGGAAACTTATGGGATATGTTTATTTTTTCTATGTACTGGAAACTTATGGGATATGTTTATTTTTTCTATGTACTGGAAACTTATGGGATATGTTATTTTTTTCTTTGTCCTGGAAACTTAATGGGATATGTTTATTTTTTTCTATGCACAGGAAACTAATGGGACATGTTTATTTTTTTATGTAATGGAAACTTATGGGATATGTTAATTTTTTTCTATGAACTGAAAACTTATGGGATATGTTTTTTTTCTATGTCCTGGAAACTTATGGGATATGTTTTTTTTTTTCTATGTCCTGGAAACTTATGGGATATGTTTTTTTTTTTTTTCTATGTAATGGAAACTTATGTGATATGTTTATTTTTTTTTCTATGTCCTGGAGACTTACGGGATATGTTATTTTTTTCTATGTACTGGAAACCTATGGGACACAGTGTATAACTTAACAACATCTTGCTTGAGGCATACCTGCTCGTACAGACACCTTCTTGGCATATCTCAACAAGCCGAGCTTCTTGCAGATGAAGCTGGAGCCGATGAACACAGAGGAGCTGAGGGCAAGAACCAGGCCGATCACGAAGTCCCGGACGTCATCCTTGTCACTGCTTGTCGCCAT